CTATAAGTACCTTATAGCATATTACGTGGACCACTCGCTTAGGACTAGTGACCGACTTGAAAGGTAGCCCAACTCACTCTGATGTGAATGAGATACTTTAGCTGAAAATTTTTCTGGCTCTACTTTAGAGAAACAGATGGCGCTATGGAAAATCTGCAGACACTAATGGGCTGTTTGGCCCAAAGGGTTGGCTTAGGATGGGTTTGGCATCCTAAGGCAACCCCTTGTTTGGCCCATGGGCTTTCTCTCTTCAACCCCATGGGGTTGAATAGTAACCCCATGGGTTGCACCGTTTTTTTTCTTTTCCCTTTTTTTTTAATTTTTTTATTTTATAAAAATACCATTTCTTTCTTTTTCTTAATATTTTTTCTGTTTTTATTATTTTTTTCTTTTTAAATGTCTTACCAAGATTAAAAAGGTTCATAAATGAAAATATCGATAGATATTTCAAAAAGAAATTTGTAAATTATGGAAATTAATATAAATTAGTAAATGAGAGTTTAATTGTATAATTAGGTTATAATTGACAATTTTTAATCATCACATCTAAACAGATAAGTAATATTTATATTTAAATATCAATGTCAATAAAAATTTTATAAATAACCCTAGAGACATGTGAAAATTGGTGAAAATTGTTTTAATTTGCAATTGAGAGTTTAATCGTGCTTAATTATGTTATTAATTAAGTTATAATAAAACGTATTTAATCCAAGATTTGAAATATAAAATTGTTTTAATTTGCAATTGAGAGTTTGAACTTCCAATTTTACCAAGTACATATTGATGTTGGCAAAAATTTTGAGAACATTTGTGGAAATCACGAAAACTTATAGAAATGGTTTAGTTAATAAATAAAATTTTAATGGTAGCTTAATTAGATTAAAATTCAACCATTTCAATCTCAAAATTTGTAAATTTTAGTAATGTTGATATTTTTTAAATTATTAAAAAAATTGAATAATTCTATAATTTTACTACATGATAGAAATAATTTTAATATTTTTCTACGAGAAATAATTTTAGTATAAATATATGAGTTAAAATATTTGAATATCTAATATATTAATTTGAAAAAAGAATATAAAAATTTGAAAGAATTTGTTAAAATTATTATTTTTAAAACAACACAAATAATGTAAAAAGTAATATCGAGAAATTAAAAAAATAATAATGAAAATGTTGAGGGAGAGAGAAGAGAGTCAATTGAGTCTAATCCCACATTGGTCCAGAATGCAGAAATTCAAATTATGGTTGAAAATTACGTAGGTTGAGAAATGTAAATTTCAATATAAATATATTAATTGTCTTTTAAAAAATTGTTTATAAATTTAATTAGATTATATCACGTACTTAACTTTTTGTCAAAACAAAAATAAATAAAAAAATCTGCTAAAACTCAGGTTACCAAACCCTGCACCCGAAACACATGCTACCCAATCCTGCACCCCAAACACACTACCCAAACCCAGGCTACACAACACCCCAACATCAAATCTCCAACTTTACAAACTCACGCCACTGATTCCAAACCCGTGGGCCAAACGCCCCCTAAAGGATTAGAGTGACACGACTTTAGTTTCCAAAGCTCCGTTATAAAAGATGGAGTGTTCTACCTCACTGAAGGTATGTACACAACCTCACTAAACTCGACATAACACCAGCTCAAAACAAGTTATAATTTAAGTTTTGGAGTATACGTGACCAATTATCACATCGATGCAAGATTGTGCAGGCTACCTGCACATCTCATCTGTAAACTCACTTCGACTCGTTTGTTAGCGTGGTACCTCGTCCAGATTCTTACATCAACAAATAATATTAATTTAATCTCAAAATATAGTATAGTCTATAAAATTTATTCTCAATTTTAATTTGGTCTATAAAATTTTTATTCTAATCTCTCCAGATTTAATAAGTTATGGATTAAATTTGTATTTATTAAAATATTAATTAGAAATTAGTGAACTAATTACATAATCTGTTTTATTGTTAATTAACGTCTACCTATGTTTAATAGCGTATACACTACTCTAGTGAAAATTAATAAAAATATCGAATTGAGACATTTTTTAATGGTGATAGAAGAAGAAACAAGTTAAAAAAAAAACCTTCAGAATAATTGAAAAAAAAAATATTGTATATATTGAACATTGAAGATAAAAAATATATAAATATCATAAAAGAAAAAGAGAGGAATGGGCCAACTTAATGTAATTAAGTGATTAAAATTAATCTACTTATTCTATAAAGAGATATTAAGATGTAAATAAATTTGCAAGTATGATTGTGGATATCATGCATTTACATTTCTTTTGTATTTTTTTAGTACAATTACATTTGTTTTAGATATGAAAAGTTTGGGTCTGTCATTTATGTAAAGAGGTGTTAATATTTTATAATTTGAGTTATGTAATAGTTAACAAATATTTATACCAGTCTTATATCATGGTTCAAATGAAATCTTTCAAATATCGTAAAGTTAAAGTTACACTATGTTTTTAATCTATGTATTTTTTGGGTTGAAATTAATTAGTCACTGCCTCTTTTCTTTTAGAGTTTTCACTTTTTTTTTTTGAGTACTTAGAGTTTTCACGTCTGTTTGTAGGTTTGATTGAGATTACAAAATATTCTTGGTATTGATAAAAGAATAACAAAAAATTTAATTATATGTAGTTGTACTTCAAAGTAAATTACATCAATTTAATGAGTTGAACTGTTATACTCTAAATAACATTCCATATTTATCTTTGTTTTCTGCCAAAATATTGACTTAAAAGTTAGTTTTGATTAATATTTTTTTTCATAAAAGAAATACTTGTCACGCTAAAGAATTTCACATCATTAAGTTCATTAAGCTATTTAAATATCCTCGACATGAAACATAACTCAGTGATAATTGACATATACTCATCATTTTGAAGTGGGAGATTCAAACTCCAATACCTCCAATTTGTTGTACTAAAAACTCTCACTTAAATTATATGAATAACTTGCGAGATTGAATTTATCTACTATTATTCATTGATGACATGAATAAAATTTAACAAAAAATAAAGTCAATAATAAGAAGCTTGTGTTAAAATACTATTTTGGTGCAGACTTGTTATATTTTAATTATTATACTTTTAGTAAATCTTTAAAATAGTTCTTACCCTTAGTTGGAGCCTTGAGGTTAACTTCCATTAGGTGGAAAAGAAATAGAGGCTCGCTCTAACTTTCTATTTAGAGTCAATAAAGTTCAATAAATGATTTGAAATTCTTTATCTTTTTTGGAATGATAATGTTTTGAAATTGATTAAATTAAATTTATTGGTTTGAATGTTAGCTGGAAATGAAAAGAAAATAAAATTTTTAGTGATTTGAACTTTTAATCTAAATTTATTAATTTGAGATTAAAATATGACAATGTTGAATAGGTATATAACCATTTCGATTCGAAAACTTTTGTATGTGAAATCTTCATTCAAAATCATAGGACATCAAAAAGCGCAATTCATTTGAAATCCGTTTTGATTTTGAAATCTTTCGAAATCAAACAAAGCATAAAAATTTAGAGAGAAAATATATATATTTTTAAAAAGGACTAAAATAGAATAAGCTCATATATCAACAACAAATTAAAAACTCATTCATCATAGGTAAGTGAATAAGATACTATATTACTATCTTAAACTACCATAATTCAATCTCTCGCACCACAATCGGGAGACGAAATGAAATGTGAGTTGCAAATGTAGAGGCTACAAACGTAATTTGACATTTAAAATTTATTTTTAAATAAAGTTGAGAAATAAACATAAAAGAATTTAAAATTTAAAATCTGGTTCGTGTAGTGGGAAAGTGCGCGTTAGAATCCCTCAGGGCTGTTCTATTTCCACCGCGAAGATTGGGAATCGGAGCGAATGGGCAATGCAGATGGCTATGGCCTCAGTTCATCTGAAATTGGTAAAGTTCACGACTCTCTCTCAACTGAAAAAGCTTCCGCGCTGCAATATCTCCCTTATTTATTTTGCAATTCTCGATTATTTACACTGTTTTCTGTTCTGTTCACTTGTAAATTCCTCGGATAGACGAAAAAAATCGAGATTACAAGCGTTTAATCGCACTGTTATTGTTTGATTTTCTATTTATTGTTAGCGAAATCGATACTGTTTCAACTCGTAATTTGTGGTTTCTACTATGGAATGGCGTTTGATTTTCATCGTCAATGTTGCATCGTAGACAACGCCTTTGGATTGAAATAGAAAAGAGAAGAAATCCGAAACGAAGAGCGTTTTAAGTGAGAAATGAAGCAGGAGGACGGCAACCGTGGAGCGGGCGTTTCTGGTTCTCGTCGGACGCGGTCTCAGATAGCACCGGATTGGACCGCCGCGGAGTGCCTCGTTCTCGTTAATGTGATTGCGGCTGTGGAGGCGGATTGTTTAAAAGCTTTATCTAGCTATCAGAAATGGAAGATTGTTGCAGAGAACTGCACGTCTTTGGATGTGGCAAGGACTTCGAATCAGTGCCGAAGGAAGTGGGACTGTTTGCTGATTGAACATGATGTTATCAAGCAATGGGAGTTAGAGATGCCGGATGATGATTCGTACTGGTCTTTGGAGAGTGGAAGGAGAAAAGAATTGGGACTTCCTGAGAACTTTGACAAGGAGCTGTTTAAAGCAATCGACAATGTCGCTACGATGAGAGCAAATCAGTCGGATACGGAGCCGGATAGCGATCCCGAGGCTGGGGTCGAGATGCTTGACGAAATTTCAGAACCTGGTATGACACTTTATTTCCTGAAACGCTTATGGATTCCATATCTATAGTACCAAGTTTTTATGTGAATTTGCTTACTCCACACTTTATTTTAATACAATTGATAATAATCATTTTTCACTTCACTTTATAAGTTTAGAAGGGCCATAAGGATAGTGCAAGGACAGCCCCGATAGCTTGGTTATGAAACAAAATAGTTTGTTCAGAGGAAATTTTCAAAAGGTTTATTGTTTTCTTCATGTTCTTAATGCTGTACACAAATATAACCTGCTTGAAATCCCTGTATTTCTTGTTCTTGGTATTAAATCTTGAGCCAGATGATGATTTCTATGATAAATACCATTTTTGTTTAACTTTTTATGAGCTCCCCAAAGTTATGGAGGTTTTGGCTTTGGAGGAACCTTGTTATCTGGCAATTGTGTAGATGACTGTATTAAACAGCACATAAAAGCAAAACATTGGAAGGAAAAAGTATTTTAACTACTTCAGAATCTCAGATACTGCACATGCTTCAAACATTTAAAGAATATAAACGATTGTATCTCGAAATCATTTCTATATCACACGTCTTTATCGTAATGCTTCACCACTCCTATTCTCCAATTTAATGCTTAGGATTGAGTGAGGGTGTTCTTTCAACATTTCGTTTGATTTGGGCTTCCCATATCTGAGATTGAGGTGGCTTCGGAGATATAGAAGTTGTGGTCCATATTGTAGCCATTTTAGGATCTAGATTGTTTGGTTTTTTTCCCCTTATAATCCTATTCTGTCAGGTGCAGTTTGAACTTAGTATTCTGCTAAATTTGAACTTCGTCGGATATCCTAATTTGCTCATGGAGATGAAAGATATTTCTAACTGCATTTCATAAGGTTTAGTTGCGAATTTTTTTAAACCAGAAAGGCCGGTTGACAAAAATATCATACTGCATCAATTGCATTTCTGTCTTCATATTACTTAATTTCTGGTTTGTCATGTTAGGCCCCAAAAGGCAACGGCGTCGTTCAATTTCCAAGAGAAGCCAAGCTCTTGAAAAATCCCTAGAATGTGAAGAAGAAGATGAAGAAAAGCCTCCATTAAACTCTCCAGAAGCAGAGCCACGTGAATGTTTCATCAAAAGCAATGGAGAAAAACAGATAGATAGCCTTGAACTGGAAGAAGAGCAAATGATGACAAAGAAATTGCTCGAAAATGTAGAACAAATTCAAGCAATCGTGTCTGAGAATGCAGAATATGCAACTTCGGATGAAAAGAACACCAACCACCGAATTGATTCGGTGAGGCGCCAGGGGAACACGCTTATCAGATGTCTTGGAGATATTCTCAATGCCATCAATGATCTCCATGGCCTGTTTGAAGACCGCGAGTGATTCTCATTTTGTTCATTAACCCGCCAAGTAAGAGCTGTTCTCCAATGGTCTCCTCAACTCTGTGTAAATTTTTTTGTTAAAAGGCCATGTTAGATAAACTCATGTTTAGCTCGTCTTACAGCTTTGAATCTTTCCCATTTCTCTTCCTACAGACAGAATGTCAAGTTCGCCGTGCGAGCAACAGCAAAACGTTGCTGACATTTTCCAGGTTACAGAAATCGAATCGAGTGTTTATTAATGGATCCTTTTTCTGTCTTCTATCTCTCTTATTGTTCTTATTTTTTATTTATCACATTCTGATGTTTCATTTTTGTCTTTATTAAGACCAATGAATTCATTCATCAATAACAAGAAACAATAAACTATGCTATGCCCCCTTAGAGGGAGGGAGATAGGGGGAAGAAACTAAGCAAATATAACATAAAAGGACCAGCCTTTTAACAGCTCATCAGAACAAGAAACTTCTCTATAGTACTTCTCCATCTTCATCTTCCTCCATTTCCCCTTCCAAATACGCTTTGGAAAGCGAATGGCTCGTAAAGCAGACCTGTTTTTTCTGATCTTATTTGTAGTGTGCTGCAACACTTGCTCTAGTACCAGCCCCGAGGCCGAAATCCTCATCAAGTTCAAGAGCTCTCTGTCGAACAACACAGCGTTGGACAACTGGGACGCGTCGATCGACATCTGCAGCGACGATGCAAGTACGAGAGGCAAATACTGGACTGGCTTGACCTGCAAGAATGGAGCTCTGTTCGGGATACGGCTAGAGAACATGAGTTTGTCCGGTGTCATCGACATAGACACGCTTGCGAACTTGTCGTCTCTGAGGAGCTTGGGCTTCATGAACAATAGCTTTCATGGTCCAATGCCTCCGGTGAAGAAACTGGGCCCGTTAAAAGCTTTGTATCTTGCATACAACAAGTTCTCTGGGGCGATATCTGATGATGCTTTCCAAAACATGAGATCGTTAAAAACGGTGCGTTTAGAGGAGAATGAGTTTAAGGGGCGGATTCCTGGTTCTCTTTCGAGTTTGCCAGCGCTGGTGGAGCTGAGCCTTGAAGGGAATAAATTTGAAGGCCAAATCCCAGATTTTATTCCAAGGGATTGGTTGTTGTTCGATTTGTCCAATAACCAATTGGAGGGTTCAATTCCTTCTGGCTTGGCCAATATCGACTCCAACGCATTTGCAGGTAAAAGCTATATGGTAATATCCCCTTGAGCATAATATTTTCATTCAATATTAACATATAATCAAATAATTCTCTTGGGAAAAATCAATTTGTAAACGTAACTTGTGTTAAAAGAGAAAAATTAAGATTTTCTTATACTAAAAGATAAATTAAGACTTCAAAGTTTTTCCTTTAATTTGATCCTTAAGTTTATAGGATTAAAGATTATGTATATAAAACTTTTGTCCCTTTTTTTCTTCATCAACTTACCTACAAAGAGCACTTCGGTAGTATAATTGTTTTATTGTGAAAAATAATCATCCTTTAAATATATTTATCTCTTAAGTTATCTTGTTTGACTCTCATTTTAGTTGTCTCATGGGGTGACATAATTATAATTTTGTGCAAGAAAATAGAGATTTGATTAAATTTTGGGTAAAAAGAATTTAATCATATCAACTTTAATTTAAAGATTGTTTAAACACTGTTGTGATATTTTGTAATTTAAAATTTTTAAGAGAAATGATATGTTTGCTTCTTAATCTTTTAATTAAAATATCTGTTAAGTTATAAGGTTATAATTAAAGTTTTTTTTTTCTTTTTGAAGTTTAGTTTTTGCATTGTTATTACCGACCTATTATGTCCACAACAACATCCATGTTCTGTTTTTTTTTGGGGGAAAGTTGTGTTGCCTTTTTTAAAATCATTTACTAAGAAAAAGATAATATATAGTAATGTGACCTCATTAAAATTTAATTCATGTGACCTCGTTAAAATTTAATTCTAAGTTTAGAAATACTTTCAAAAAGTTGTTTAAATTCTTTATTTTTATGCCTATTTCATAATAGTTTAAAAAATTTGAACATTCAAGAATCTAAATTTTACATTAAGAACCAAAATAAATAACAGTAACACATGTGTATTGTTCTTTTAATTAATTAATACATGTATAATGCATTTCCATGAATAAATATAATTGATTTTATATTGAATTTTAAAATTTTAGAACCTAAAATAAAATTTTAATTTCTCTCACAGGGAATAAAGATTTATGTGGACAACCTCTAAGCCGATGCAAGTCCCCAAAGAAGTGGTACATCCTCGCCGGCGTCACCGTCGGAATCGCCGTCTTAGCGATCATCGTCATTTACCACCGCTACCGCCGCCGCAGAGCTCTATCATTATTGGCGGAAGAGCAGGCCGAAGATTCAAAAGCCCACGATAAATTGGGCTTTGTAAAGGCCCAATATCCTGAGAAAACAGAAGAAAATGCAAAGCTTCAGTTCGTGAGGACCGACAGGCCCATATTTGACTTGGAGGAGCTGCTGAAGGCCCCAGCCGAAGTTCTGGGCGGCGGGAGCTTTGGGTCGTCTTATAAGGCCCTGCTTTCAAATGGGCCCCCAGTGGTTGTGAAGAGGCTCCGGCCCATGAAATGCGTTGGGTTCGAAGAGTTTCACGAGCACATGGGAAGGCTGGGCAGAATATCGCATCCCAATTTGCTTCCGCCGGTGGCTTTCTATTATAGGAATGAAGATAAGCTTCTGATTTCTGAGTTCATGGGGAACGGTAACTTGGCTGATCATCTTCATGGTCATGGTATGATTCTCAACTTCCACCCATCTAATATTCAAATTCCTTTTTTATATCTATCTTTACTTTTTTTTTTTTAAGTATTAAATATTGGCTAATTTTTTATTATTGGGAATTAGGAGTTATCAAATTATATGAATTGTTTGATTATTGTAATTGATAATTTAGGGGAGACGTCTGAATAGAGAGGAGAGGTAATTGATACCACATTCGAGAGGGATCATGAGATTATAGAAATATAGTTAAGAATGTTTAAAAGAATTGATGTCACTACTTATACCAACAACGTGCTGAAAGCTATATTAAAAATAATGATGGGTCCACAATTGATCACGTTCAAGGTCAAATTTGTAGTAGAACCAATTGACCATTTCATGTCAGCTTTCATTAGTTTTCTTGTTCTAGATTTGACCGCTTCAAATTTTCATTCAAAATATTAAGGATGTTTACTTTGAGGATTTTTTTGATCACATTCAAGGTCAAATTTGTAGTAGAACCAATTGACCATTTCATGTCAGCTTTCATTAGTTTTCTTGTTCTAGATTTGACCGCTTCAAATTTTCATTCAAAATATTAAGGATGTTTACTTTGAGGATTTTTTTTAGACATTTATGAAAGTTCAGGTCTAGTATTGAAACTTTAAAAATGACGGAATTCATAAATGTCAAAATTTAGGAGTATTTTCTGTAATTTATCATTTTTCTTTTTCTAACTAAGAGGGCCTCTTTGAAATATTCCAGCCCAGCGCACTCCTGGAAACATTGGGCTGGACTGGCCCACTAGGCTACGGATCATCAAAGGAGTGGCCCGAGGCCTGGCCCATCTTCACATGGAGCTACCGGGCCAGGCCCTACCCCACGGCCATCTCAAATCCTCAAACGTCCTTCTAACCTCCAATTTCGAG